TTTTACAGTGCCAAGAAATACTCATAATTATAACCTCTTGGCATTAAATCAAATACGGCTTCCATTTCTATAATATGTATTTATTAATCGAAATATTTTCTGGTAACAGACTACTCTGTAACGATATGTATTTAGATGTATTTAAACTTTAATGTGCTTCTTTGCCTTTATAATGTATGTCTTAATGTAACTTAATATATTTTTAATAGTTAACTGAAGAGTATATATGTAGGTTATACTAAAACCTATATCCAATCTAGTTTTACCGCAAAATAATGGAGCAAATGAAATAAGCTGTGCTTATCAAAAGCAAGAACAAAACCTGCAATAATGAAATTCGGTCTAAAAATCGATCTAAGTTGAGAATGTGTCCACCTGAAGCTGACAGTCGCCCATATTTTTAGTGGTTGCCAATGCTTACATACAAAGGTACGATTCCTTGTCTACATGTACTGATCCTTAAAGTCACATCCTGATTAATTTCAATAGTTCCTTATTAGTGTATGTACTCTAATAAGTATTTAATTATGTTATGCTCTCATACAATAAATAAAAAAAGAATATATCTATACTTTTATAAATTAAATATTTTTCTTAATTATAACAAGTTTCTTACACTTGAGAAGTATTCAGAAGAAATAATAAGTAATAAAGATAACATAACAGTCTAGCATAACAAATTTAACAGTAATGGTTTAACATAAATGCGGAGGGTCGATTGCTGTTATGATCAGTAACAGTGTAAAATCTATTAAGAACGACTGAACAATAATGTTTGACTTATTATGGAAATATTATCGTTTTTAACTTTATTCTATATTAAATATATGAACATATTTAGAAAAACTTTAGTAGAGCAGACTCTGGCACTTTCGAGAATTATATACAACTTTTTCATATTCTTAAAATTAATTATTTCATATTAAAGTTAAAAATGTACAACTTTTGTAGCGAACATCTTTAAATATAATAAACGTAATAATCGGTAAAGTGTTCAAAACACACGTAACAGCATCTAATTTAGTGAGATCAGTTAATTTTACTTCCCAATACACAATTTCAGTACACACTTGAAAATACTTATTCGATGCAAGTCAGGAAATCCCATTTTAGTTGCATGCCGAAATTATCTTCCTGCTGTGTCTTCGCTGCATTTCTTTTGACTGCATCCATAAAAAACTGTAGCGTGTGTCAAATTATTTACATTTTACTGCGCACCCGCGGTTAAAGCTGTAGCAAATTGCTTTTCAGCGTCTGCAGTGCGCGCTGTGTGACGTTGGGTGCAACAGTCTAACAGTCCAACAGTCTGTCGATGTTCTTACATTGATCTGTTAATAGAAGCATGTGCGGTGTTTACCTAGTAACATTTATGTAAACAATATTAAATCTGTTTTCGTCTTCTTAGAGACGGAAACTTCTCTGTTTAGAAGTTTCGATTTACGCTGATTCGTAAAACTTAAGAAAGAACATTTTTGTTTCTAATTTTTTATTATTTATGTCTTGCAGTTCTTGAATAAATAAACAAGATTAAAACCTTCATTGATGTGTTATTTATTTAATTGGCTTGGATATACAATCGACTTGTATACTCAATATGCAGTAGTCTACTCTATAAAATTCTAATAAATGCTATAATATAGGACCTTCAAAAAAGTAAAAAATAATACTTTTTTATCTTAGAAGCTTATTAGTCATTTCATAGATAAGTAACACATAAATAGATGGTTTAAATATATTTTTAACGTCCGTTTTTACGAAAGAAAGTAAATTCTTTATATAAAGTATTGCTGGGTAATATTTTCAAATATTACCAAGTATCCATCAATCAGTGGGTCTTGAATTAATGTTGTTTAATTATTCATAATAATTTTTTTTTTCTAATTTTTTTAAACTGCAAGTACCAATCATTTTTCATAGAAATTTTCATAAAGAAAATCGTTTGCAATGACAGGAATAATGGTAACACTTAGTACTAATATCTGGATCTGTAAGGTGGATGCATAACTTCCCTTCAAAGCTTCTGAAGCTTATTGCGATTCGTTTTTTGTTTTCTATGTTTAGCAGCGATTCGCAAGCTGGAAATTCGGTCTATGAGGTGTTTTTGCGTAGAATGTGTGCACCATGCATCGAGTTCTTTTAAATCCAGCAACCTGTATTCAATGCGTTCCAACCGGCTTTTTATGCAGCCGCAGGCTGCGTTTAAAAAAAAATGCCTTTAAAAAAACTAAAATATAAGTGTATTTCTATCCGCTAGTCGTCCATTTTTTCGACGCGACTCAAAGAAAACTGAGTTACCCAATACATGATAATTTACAGAAAGCATGCATAGAATTTTTAAAGTATTATAACACTAACTTTATTTATTAAGTGGTACTCTGATGTCATTGACATATGGTACACTTGACAATTTTTGTCAGGTGTACCATAGTTCATGGATATAAAATAGATTTGGACTTGATTAAAATCGTGCAATGGAGTACATTCTCAATCATATGGTATTACATATTGTATACATATTTTATACTAAACTTAATACATTTTTTTCATTGGGGTACGAAGGGTATTGAAATCAACAAATTCAGACGAATTGCAATAAACATTGCAGTCTCTAAAATAACAAACAATAAAATTGGTTGGACAGACAGAAGCTCTCTGATTGTAGTCAAATAAAAAAAATTAACTTCTATATTGAATTACAAACAGCTGCGTTGATGTATCTATAGTGAGTTTGTGTAGATACGTCGATATTTAGCTAAGTATATGCCTACATATAGAGAAGTACGCCAATAAATAAAAATATATGTATATGTAGAGCATTACTGACAGAAATTGTTGAAGAAAATTACATGTTTTCAGTGATTGTATGTACTTGCATTTTTTTAGTGGATGAAAAATAAATTTTGGACTTACATATATTTTCACAACATCAATACATCCATACATACAAACTACAAAAAATTATTACAGGTTTTTTTTAATCGATTATCATTTATTACACCATTTGTTAGACCTATATTTTGTAGAATATAGAGGTCTTAAAAGTTGTTTCCATAGCAGATAGACGTCATAGTAGAGATTCTTATCTCTTTCAAAAATGTCTACATTTTGGTTTAACTCTTTAGATCGCCCACATTTTTAATAAAAAATCTACTTTTGTCACGCATAACTAGGTATCTTTTGTTTCCTGCTACTGACACCAAATCAGTCATTTGTGACCATATTTCCTCAATAATATATATATTCCATTTTAACTTTATTTATTTTCTTTACTTTAAAACAAACTACCAAATTACTGGTTTTATATTAAAGATCCACACCAGCCAAAATAATTTCTCACCCCAGCAAAAGGAACGTCAATTAAATTATTTTTGCTAAGCAGGGAAGACTTCCCTTCTTTCATTTTAATACTCTTATGAATAAAAAAAGTTATTGCATTAAACTAGTACTAAATGTAGCATTTTATTGATTCACTTAAATAATTAATTAAGTACATTAAAGATATACTTAAAGATACTACTAATTATTGAAGAAAAGTTCTCACGGCTCATTAGACATCATGAAGTGTTTTTTGTTTTGTAGCGTAAACCTCGATTAGTTTAGTCTCCAAAGGCTTATGATAGCAATTTGGGATGACACCAAGATTATGTCTGAGAGGAACACATTTAATTTACGCATCTGGATGGTATTCATTTCCACAAACAATCTATAAAATGAAAAATATATTATATGAAAAAAATGATTATATGATATGATTTACTTTACTGACTTGTGTTCGAATTTGGAACATGGTTCCGAAATAATCGTTTTCAAGAATAGAGCAGTAGCAAGCGTAAATAGCTAGAGAAGATTAACAACATTATTTAAATATAAGTTTATTTATATATGTTATATATGCAATTAAAATTCCTTACCAATGTGTATACATAATGTATTCTGTCTGTTTGGAATAGCATAAACATACACTTCATAAGATAAAAAATCGACGTGATGGCTGCGACTTGTAGATCCTTTAAGAAGAGACTTGTGATGATCAAAATCATGCAGAACTAAATAATCAAAGAAAATTAATTAAATAATTTTCTCAGAATTAATTAGAAATTAATTTCACAATTAAATTTACTTTGGTACTTAAATCCATTTTTATCAAAATTTAAATAGAGAATTCAGAGTCGAAGACTTAATCTCACACCAACTGCGTCTGAGAATGAACTGAATCGTACAAATTATTATTGCAAAGCAGCGAACTGAACAATGGACTTGAGTTTGAAGTATCGCGAATTGTGTAAACAAATTTCAGCTGGGACGTTAGCAACTTTTTGTCATAATTTTAGTAGTTTAAACGGTAGATTAAGTTCACTTTGGGCACACTTATTGCGAAGAAGTGCTCAACCGCTTAAATACTGCAAACTCCAAGTTTTTTTAAAGATGTTTAGTTTTTTTCAATTGCATTAATCTCTATTGATCTTTATTAGAGTTTATCTCAATTGAACAAACTCTTATCCACTAAATCTTTTGTCAGAAACCACTCCTTAGCACAATAATTACTTTGAAGTAGATGTGAAAAATTTATGCAATTGAGTTACTTTTTCCTTACTTCATGAAAGCTATCTACAAAAAAAAAATGATTTTAGAATAATTAAGAAGTGTCAAAAAATTCATTGTTTGACATAAAATCGAAAGAATAAATGATTGCTATATCTGTTTGAAATTAGATGGTATATTAGAGCACATCAAAGTGTAATCCGATCATTTTAATATTACTTCATTAAATTTTCATGCCATTTTTTTAAACTTAAAATTTTTCTGGAAAAAATATCTTAAGAAAATATTATATCTTATCCCACATAAATTGTGCAGATATATATTAAGGAAGGATTTACTACTTTTCACTTACTACTATTTTTGTATTGTTATATGAAGAAAAGTAGTATGTGTTAAAGAATTTAACTGAGGATTTGTAATTGGCTGAGGATATGTAATTTAACATATCGTGTGATTTGAACTATTAAATAGCCTCTATAATGATAAATCAACAAATGGGTTGAGTTATATCTGTATTTGTCTCTTGTTTCATTTGGGTTTCTTAAGTAATTTAACAATATCTAAACCTTGTCTTGTTATTGAAATGAAAAAATCGTTTAAATTTGTATTTTTGACTTTTAGGGTTGCAACTAAAATTTAAAAAATATTAAAAATTACTTATTTTTGAACGTCACGTAAGGGCCATATCATATAGAGTGTCATGGACTAGTCAAAATTGTCTCTTTTGGGCTTTGAAAGAAATGCATGTTATGCAGAGTTTCACAGAAATTGTAATAAATTATTACTAAAAGACACAAATGTTGACATGTATTACTGAACAAGACTATCTTGCCTAAGTGATGAGGTATGCATAATCTCGGCTCTCATCAACAAAATTTTGAACCGACATATTGTTTTTTCCTCTCACTCTCAATTTTATAGTTTGCAATCAAAACAAAAACAATTTTGCTTATAACAAGCCCATGATACTCTACATAACATGGTCCCAAGGCATATTTTGGCACTTTTACTGTCAAAATATGCTGGGACGTTGATTTAATAGAAAGCTTTCTCTCTTATTCGGAATAAAAGATGTTTTGATATTTTAATATTTTATCATGTCTACCATGATAAATACTTAGAGTTCTACGTATATAGTGCTATGTTTAGACTATTTTACTTAACTCAAAAAATATGCAGCAATATGTGCCAATTTTCATACGAACTCCATACAAAAACCATACCAAAAATATGCTAAAAAGGTCTAATAAGTATTAATGTAAACATGGTAAAAGATAAATTTGACATAATGTTATGAATAATATAACGTTTTGTGATAACTGAAATGGAAACATTTTAACATTGGATGAAAATCATAATATCTAACAGAGGATATACTTTGAAGGCAAGTATAAAATCGACAGGGGCAGCGAGTTAATAATTGAGTGTATTATACTCCTGGTATTATATGCAAAATTCCGTCGAATTGTCGCTAAAATAAGTGTATTTTATTTGTATCATTAACATTCTTTTTGGAGACGCTATAAAGTCATATGCTTTGGGGGCCAGTTATACTCGTAATGCTATTGGAAACCAATACTTAATCATTAAAGTTCTTCTGGAACTAAATTATTTTAACTGCATAAATTAACGAAAACTAAGGTATATATGTAAGGGATATATACTAAGGTATATACTAAGCTATATTATATAGGTATACCTTAGTACATACAATAAATAAGATGATACTGAATAGGTAAGTTGAATTTATACTTATGGAAGAGAGATAGAGAATGTGAAAATCTCAACGCTTTGTTACTAAATATACTTAGTTCAGCATTACTCAAAACATAAATAAGTTGAATATAGTTCATAATAACCAATATATATTCTAATAAAGTAGTCATGATTTTTGAATTTTTTATCTGGTACCGTAACTGGTTACCATCAAGATTTTTCCAGAATCAATTTATAATGCTTTGTATTCTCTAAATATTTAATTGGGTATATGTGTATATTAATTAACTATGAAGTTTAATGTTTTGTCCTATGAAACGCTGACTTTATTCAACAATCACATAATTTTTTTACGGCGAATTTTACTGTTAAATTGACCTCACAATTCGCCGCATACAATGGCATACTAAAGAAACCGATAGAAACAATTAAATTTTTTGGAGCACGAATAAAAGATTGAAAAAAAAATTAATTCATTTAATAAGAATTAATAGAAAAGATTTTAAGCTAAAAACCAATTATGTATACGAGGATCGTTTGATAAGTTCACATTTTTATCAGTTTTAAAATTAGTCTTTTATGTAAACCTTTTATAATTTCACACTTTTATGTCTATGGTAGTACAATTTTTTCATGCTTCCCCGATATATAGCCACAATACATCTGTTAAGCATAATATAGACGATGCTATATGTATGCAAATCAAGTACGCCGTGCTACCAAATCGTACTGTATAAATTGAAGTATGCATACTAAATATTTGTCTGCAGACATATATACGGTAAAATTAGACCTTGTTTGAAAGTGTATAACAAATTGCATACTTGGTCTACATACTTGGTCTACATACTTGGTGTGCATACATGTAGCATCGTCTATATCATGC